GGAGGCTGAAGGACCCTGATATAGTTCTGCACAGTATGATTTTGAAAGACAGCATATTTTCTGAGCAGGGGTTTACTTTGCATTCTACACACCTGTTTCTACAACAGTAGAGAATGGCATATGGAAAAACAATTGTCATTCTTTATGTCCATACACAGAGCAAATATAGAAGATATCTTGAACATAAGGCATTTTGTTGAAGGCAGTAGCATATTGTATGTGTACAGAGATACCAGTCTTCATGCATCCGTGTAAAGAAACATACATACAATAGAGATTCTTATATGCACAATGTATTCCACATAACATTCGCTTGCTCATCCAAAATGTTAGCGTAGCATAGCATAGCAAAGCAGCAGATGCTCAGTTAGAGTGGGCTGAGAAGTCTCTTGGGTTTTAAACTTCTGTAAGCTTTCTGGCTACAATGAGGAAGGGTGGACTAATTGTCAGACCTGCAGCCTGGAAGTCTGGCTTGCTAAACTCTTTTCCAAATTCTGCCAGTGACCTATTCTGTGACAGATTATTCAGGGAACCTCTTTGTGCCCTTCCTTGTAAAGGACGAATGATTCTTGACATTCTCCTAGTGCTGCCAAGGCTTTATTACAAAGCTTTGAGAGCCTCTGCTGCAAAGCCTAGTAACATTGCAAAGGTATTATGATTACCTTATTTCTCTTGCATAACAGATGTTGTTCAGCTGCAGTTGAGTATTTAATTATTTTCCACCATTTTGGAAAATCAGGATGTATCTGTGGGACTTGGTTCAGCTGCCCCTTAACGAAGAGGGGTGTTCTCTTTCAGGAATTCAGTATATCAGGTGAGACAAATGAGCTTTATATGTACTTGGCAGCTGGGTACCCCAGAGGGAGTATGGACGGAACTTGAACACCAGAAGTGTCTTCATCTGAGGTTGTATATAGTGGTCTGGAGTGAGGTTAGCGGGCTGAGAATACCTGCTATATTCTTTCTGAAGGACATTGACAGTCCAGGTTGGCATTCACTCATATGCAGAGATTCATGGGCTGGTTTGCTGAACCTGTGTGAAATAGTTTTGCAGCATTAGTCAGTTCCCAGTGAACCAGGTAGCAGACTGCATCACCACTGCAGACGACACTGTGTGGCCATCTCAGGAGAGGCTAAGGACTAGAAGCGCATTGGACACTGACCTCTAATCCTTAGAAAAAGATTTACTACGTTTCTAGGTTAGGGCCTGTTAGCAAAGTGCTTCTGCCTACCCTAATGGATAAACTTGGCTTTGGTCCTCGAGGCTGCATAAGCAGCACCAAAAAGGATGAAATTGATTAGAAAATTTGATGAAACTGAGGAATTGATTTCAAGAATGCCAGTTGCTTTCCTGTTGCAGCCAGACTTCTGTCGTGGGCAAGAAAGAATATAGGTGAATCACAGGAAAATAGGGCTGGGAAGAGATCACCTCATCAACCTGCTCAAGGAAGGATCAATCCTATTTAAATCACTTCAGTCCGTGGTCTCTTCACTAATTAACCGAGAATATATTCTCTGCTGCCTGCCTTGTGTGAGATGCTGATTCTATGAGTTCCCATCTCCGTTTCCTTGCATGCACTGTACTAAGAATGGAGATGTACGCATGCATTGACAGCAGGTCACAGCTGGGTGCAGAGGTCAGCAGGTTGCCTTGTGAGCAGGTGTCTTATGAAGTGGAAAGCTGGTTGGCACCTCTGTTTAGAGATTAATAGTTAGCCAGAATCATTGTGTGCATATATACTTCTCACATTTTATGTAATTGATTTCCTAGAAAAATACAGTATCTTTCCCTCCCACTGTGTTGACATTTCTCTTTCTGACCATTGTCCAAAGTCAGCTCCATCTACTGTCCTCACTACCATTGAGGCCAGGTGGTTCTTTTCATGTCAGTTTATAAGAGTAATAGTAAGTTACAGTGTGCTATTCAGATAGTATGAATGGTGCGCTGTGGTAATGTACTGTTCCTAAGGATATTTATGTGAGACAGACTGAGTTATTGCTGCATTGAGACCCTTGGCAGACAAATTGGGCTTCCATTTTACCTGTACCTGTGAGAAGTGACCGGGAAAGGGACATCTCACAAAGCAGACAGGCTGGTCAGGTTGTGAATTCTGAAGCATTGCACAGTGCATGCCCTGGCTTGGCTATCAAGATATGTGAACCCATTAATCATACCAGGACACCTGCCAGTTATCTGACTTTAATTGGGGGCCTTCTAGTATTTAAGCTGACTTTTTTGGCACTACAGAGAGAGAATTTAATTCCTCTCCCAGTGCGGCCATGGAAACACTATAGAGGTGTGAATGTAACTCAAGGTCACTCAGTGACCTACAGCTACTGGGGAGAAATTATGTTATTATGCACCATTTTCCTTCAGAGATTGCTGTTTTGGCAGCATGTTTAAGTGTTTGTATATTTGTCTTTTAAATTTTTTTTGCTCCCCAAACCCTAATATTTTAGTGATTTGCAGTCCACTGCATTATTATTATTATTGTTATTATTGTTATTATTATTATTAAAGATTTCCATGGAGAAAAACTACTGGCAAGGAGATTTTCTCTTGTATTCTTGCCCAGAGAAAGGTGTGAATGAGAAGGAAAGAATAGTTACTTAACTAGGGAGAGTCCATTTTGGGAAATGCAGTGTTGCCAGTGCCAATGCTAAAACTGTCTGGAATATCAGGTTCCAAGAGTAATAATCAATGCTCAATGCCTCGTTGGCAGCTGGTATCAAATGGAGTGCCCCAGGGGTTGGTCGTGGGGCTGGTTTTGTTCAATGTCATCCAGTGTCTTCATCAGTTACCTGGAAGATGGCATAAAGTGCGCCCTCAGCAAGTTTGCAGATGACACCAAGCTGTGGGGAGTAGTAGATATGCTAGAGTGTAGGGCTAGGATTCAGAGAGACCTAGACAAATTGAAGGATTGGGCCAAAAGAAATCTCATGAGGTTCAACAAGGACAAGTGCAGAGTCCTGCATTTAGGATGGAGCAGTTCCATGCACCAGGACAGGCTGGGGGCTGACTGGCTGGGCAGCAGCTCTTCAGAAAAGGACCTGGATGTTACAGCGGACAATAAGCTGAATATGAGCCAGCACAGTGCCCTTGTTGCCAAGAAGGCTAATGGTATACTAGGCTACATTAGTAGGTGCATTGCCAGTAGGTCAAGGGAAGTGATTATTCTGCTCTATTCAGCACTGATGTGGCCAGTGGAGTAACTGTGTTCAGTTTTGGGGTCCCCAGTACAGAAAGGATGTGGACAAATTGGAGAGAATCCAGTGGAGGGAAACAAAAATGGTGAGGGGGCTGGGAGACATGACTTATGAGGAAAAACTGAGGGAACTGGGCTTATTTAGTCTAGAGAAGAGAAGATTGAGAAAGGATTTAATAGCAGCCTTCTACTATCTGAAAGGGAGTTTGAAAGTGGATGGAGCTAGACTGTTCTCAGAGGAGGCAGATTACAACAAGGAGCAATGATCTCAAGTTGCAGCAAGAGAAGTTTAGGTTAGATATTAGGAAGAATTTTCTCACTAGAAGGGTAATAAAACACATTATAAACAGGTTATAAAGAGAGGTGGTGGAATTTCTGTCCTTAGACGTTTTTAAGACCCAGCTAGACAAAGCCTTGGCTGGGATGATCTAGTTGGGGCTGGTCCTGCTTTGATCAGGGGGTTGGACTAGATGACCTCCTGAGATCCCTTCCAACCCTACTTTTCTATGAACCCCCCCCACCCCACATCTTTCCAAATGAAGCTTTATCATCACCCCAAATTAAGATTGATCTCAAAATCACAAGATTGTTTTCAAAGATAAGTGTACACTGATTGTTGGTTGTTGATCTGATGGAGCTCCTGCTGCCTAGGGACAGGATGGGTGTTACCCAAATATATTAAGTGTATGAATGTTAAGAGCTTTCATCCCCATGTCTGCCTCTTCTCTGTGATCAGTTTTGCCCTTGTATCAGTTCTGCTCCTGTGTCAGTTTTGCCCTCCAGTTCCTATATGTGTTCAGCCCTCATTCTGTCCCCAGCCTCCACGTGTGTGAGTTCTACCCCCTACCCAGCTTTTCCTCTGTTGTTCACAATGGAGGGAAGAGGGATGACAGGGCCCCTCTGAGCTGCTTGGGTTTTGTTCTTTCTTTTTAACTCCCCCTCCTTATGTCTCCCTCCCTCTACCATTATCAAGGGGGGAGGAGGGGTATCAGCTGCTCCTGAGTGTGGGAAAGGCTTCTACCTGCTTGCGGCAGCAGTCCTGATGGGATGTTCTGCCCTAGGAAGTAGGTTAGAGGAGTAGGCAGTCAATCAGAGGGGTGTCTTTCCCAGGCTGGGCTGTAATTTGTTACGGGGCTGGAATGTATGTCCTTGTGAGACTTCCTCTGGCCTTGTTACATGCCAAAAAAAATCTTTGAGAATTGACAACACAAGAGGAGGGTGTTAAGAAAAATGTTTTTAATAGTTTTCTCTCCCCGACTAACCTAAAAGGACCTTCAGGCTATATAGCTCAAAATAGTGGCATGAACCATGCAACCCAGTTGCACAATGGCAGGCAAAATGGAGATGATTCTCTGTAAAGCTCCTGTTCATTTTTCTTTTAAAAGAAAAGGAGCTGAGCTCAGATTTGTTCTCCCATGTTGTATGATTATTTTTCCCCAGAGTTATTGAGATTATGGCATTTCACTACACAATGCTACCTCCTTCCTAGGACAAATTCCCAAGCACGTGCAGCTCACAAGCCCCAACTCTGACCCCTCATGTTTTATGCCAACATATCCTCTTTTGATTTCAGTGGTGTTACCCCAGTTTGACACTGGGGACAATCTAAGAAGAATCAAGCTCCACAAGTACAGCTGGATATTGCACTGTTTGTGCACCAGCAACCTTTGCAGGTGAAGTAGCAACCAGTGCCCACAATGAGCTCATCTGTCACACAGGGAGTCAGTTCTCCATAGATGTGCTAGTTAATTGGTCTTCGAGTCCTTTCCCATGTCTCTTCTGCTTTGCTTACAGAGCCGGCCCTTTCCCTCCTGCTTCTCCTTCCCGAGGGAACAGGCGATATGACGATGATGACCTGTCATCTTCTTCCAATGGGCCCTGCTGAGAACTTGATATGGTCTTGGCTGCAGCAGACTCCACAGGTATTTTTTTTCATTTTCTCAGCAAGTACCTGCTTAACTTTACAACATAGGAAAAGATGGAAAGAACTTCAGTCCTCCAGTAGCTCTCCATTCCCAGTGAAAACTGATAGACTAGGGATAGGAACCTCTTGTCTGAAGAGATGCATAAGCTCATTTACTTTTGGTTCTGGCACTGCTTCTGTAACCACACACTGAAGCAATGAAGCAGGAAGTCCTGTGATTGGACTGTATTGCTTTATCAGAGCTTCAAAGGAAGGTAAGTACATCTGAAGGTTTTTAGGTTGTGATCTTCAAAGGAGCTACATTACTTAGGTTCCCAAATCCCATTGAATTTCAAAGAAATGTTGGGTTCTTAACACCATTAGGACCTTTACAAATCTCAATTTTAGATAAGATGTGCCAGGCAGGAAACTCCTGAGCCAGATATAACAAACAAGCAATGATTTCAGTATGTAAATCTGAGGATCATCTATTCACCCTGTTTGAGCTCCTTACCCGCTTTTATATTCTGCAGTACTATTCATCTCTTGGTAACACTAATAGATCTTTTTAGATTAGATACTAATACATTTGATTCATGTCCTGGGAAAAGTGCTGCCCAGTCCTGGTTGAGTAGTCCTAGGTTCTTAAATTTCTGTTTCACCCTGGTGTTCTGTACTAAAAGCAAAGAGAGAGAACAAGATTTTGCTTTAGGCTTAAAACCAGTGGATGCAGTTCAAACTGCATGAGGCTTCTGGTAGGAGGGTTTCACAAAAGACACTTTGTTCCCTGTGGGACAGATGCCACCAAATAGTAGAGTTTATTTCTTAATTATTTTTCTGGGCCTCTCCATTTCCAGCTTGCTCACAAACACTTCACACAGAGCTTTGCTTGGAATGGCATGAGGGGGCACCAGCAGTGGGGATTTGCTTTCTATGCATGGCATGACTCCCCTTGTCTGCATGAGCTTTCTTGTTCCTAGGATACACTTATTTGCCTTAATTTATGGGGCTTGCTTTATATTATTTTTCCCCTTTGGCGGAGATCTGTTTTGACTTTCCCACTAAGCTCCTTTCTGAGCAGGGGGCAAAATGTGGAGCACTGAATTTATTCAAGTATAATTGAAGGATAGTCCTTGTGCTCAGGCAGGGTCTGTGCTGCTTCAGCTGCCTGCGGTTCAAGGAACATTATATTTCATTTAACAGCAACTGCTCCTCAGTAACAGAGAGCCATTTTTGAAACTGCAAAGGGACCCTCCCTCTCCTCTCCATTGGTGTAGGATGGAAGGAGGGGTTTCTCCTGGGTAGCGAGTTGGCAAGTAATGCAAGGAAAGAATTGACCCACTGGATCAAACTAAATGTCCATCTAGCCCAGGGGTGGGAAAAATATGGCCCATGGGCTGGATCCGGCCTGCCAAGCACTTCCCTCCAGCTTGCAGAACCCCTTCAAAACCCACGTAATGGCGGCTGCCTCTCTAAAAGCCTCCGGCGGCACCAGCTGCAGCACCTCAGGCTGTTTCCTTGGGTTCTGGTTGTGAGGCAGCCAACCCTGACCTCAGCCCAGCTGGCCTTGCCTCGCCCCACCCCGGCTCAGGCCACGTTTGCAGCTTGAGAGGGGCAGGGGGGCTGGGCCAGAACCTGTGGCGCCAGCGAGGGGAAACAGCATCTGAGCTGGGTTCTGCTTTGCTGCACAGGACTGGAAAGGGCCCTGCCCTGCAGGTAAGCCCAGAAAAGCAGCTGCTGGGTAGGCTTTCCCCGTGCCGTGCTGTGCCACTCGGGCCATGCAGGGTCGGGTTGGGCTGGCACGGGGGAAAGGAAGCAGCAGCTGGGCGGCAGCTCCAGCCCAGTCAGCACCAGGGAGGAGAGGTGGCGGTGGAACCATGTGCCGCTCGGGACAGGATGAGCCCAGCCGGAGCAGCAGGGGCTCAGCTGCATTTTCCCCCTACCTGTGCCAGTCAGTCCCGAGCAGCACACAGCTCCGCCACCGCTTCTGCTGGCTGTGCAGGCCCGGCCCATCCAGAGCAGCATGCAGCTGAAGCCAGTTTCCCACGTGCTGCTGGGGACGGGAGGAGCCCAACTGGGTCAGCACTGGCCAGCAGAAGCAGCGGCTGAGCCTCCTCCTTTTGGGACCAGCTGGCACAGGTAGGGGGAAGTTCTGAGGGAGGTCTGATGCCCCTGAAACCCCACTACTGGGGCAGGATGTTGGAGGGGTCACAACCCCTTGCTACCTGGTAAGTTGTGCAAGGGGAGGGATTTCCAGTGGCAAAGGTCAGGGGGTGGGACATCCGGTCCCAAGATGGTGACCAGGGGGTAGGGCAAATGAAGGGGTGGGGCTACCCATGCGGCCCTTGACAGCTCACCAAAACTCATGAAGCGGCCCTCTGCCCGAAATAATTGCCCGCCCTTGATCTAGCCCTATTTCCCAGCAACAAGCAGTGCCAGATGCTTTGGGAAAAGACGTAACCCCATCACTACCATGACTATTAATCCAAAATAATATTAATTAATGCTATCAAAACTGACATGCTACTTGTAATTGATAAAAATGAAGATTTCCTCCTTCAGTAATGTTCCAAGGGTGTGGAGAAGGAAAATTTCTCTGAGCCCCACGAGATACCTCAAAGTATGAATTGATAGCCCTTGAAAATTTCCTCTTAGCTTGTGTGATAGCAGGTATCATTCTTGTTCATATGCGTGCAATATTTTGATTTCTATCGAGCCATTTAATGGTGAGAAACAAACCCAAGGTTGCACTAAGGCTATGCAGAATCATTACTACCCCAGGAATCAGAGGGGGAAACCCAATATAAAAACACATGCATCTGGTAGGTGCTTGGTCCTAATTGTGTTGTCTTTCTTCAAGCACACAACATGGATTGAAAGCAATAATGCCATTTAATTCTAGGAAATGCTTCAGGCACCTTTTACACTTCGTGGGGGTTTTGCTTATATGAGCTCTCATATTCTACTAGGCAGAAGCTCTCCTTTCCTGCCCGTCTCCAAATAGAGGGAGAACCAGAGATCACAGCCAATGTGTGATCACTTTTTCTCCCTCCATTTAGTCTAGATAGATTGGGATTGTTATGGAAGACAGAGAGGATTGTGTGTCATCCTTTAGCACTGCAGTACCTAAGGGCACAGGTATGTGAACTAGCTAGCGAACACAAGAAAAAATGAGGTGAATTTAAAGAGGTAGTATTTGTAGGGGCTCTCTGAGGAAGATCTCCATTGACATGCTTATTACAGCAGAGAAACAAAGGATTTAGTAAGCTGGGGTGTGCTTACATCAAGCTTAGTGTCTTGTGGGAAGTGACTTTTGGTCAAGCTTGAGGCAATGTGGAGGATAGGGGGCAATGTGGAGCAAGCTGGCTTGCATTGCCCCTCTCTGTGCTGTATCTGCTCTGTAGACCATTAAAGTAATTCAGGTCCTGGACACAAAGTAGGGCAGCAGCAATGAAACTTGTACAGGAAACCCTCACTATTTGCGGGTTTGGCATTCGCGGTTTCAAATATTCATGAATGCTGAACCTGCATTTTAAATACACTTACAGGAGCTCCGTGCTTGCTGCTCCTGGGCTCCCACCACTGCCAGTGGGCTCCCACCGTCACCAGAGCAGCTGTACCCCTCCAGCCACCAGGGCACTGCGTTCATGAACACAGTGCCTTATTCGCGGATTTCACCATTCTCAGGAATCACAAGAACATATCCCCCACCAATGGCGAGGGTTGCCTGTATTGCTTTTATATATGAATGCAAGTTACAGTGGTGTTTGGAGCAGACAAACAATCAGGCCTTTGCGGGTAGCTGCCACACTATTCAGTTACTATTACAGTGTCTCACCACTCAGTGACAGGGGAGCTAATAGGTACTTGTTCCCATTTAGCCAAGTTACTCTGGGATAGAAATGGACACAAGACTAATGTTAGTGTCACTTTTCCCAGGGTAACTGCCATATTCTAGCAAGCTATATCAATGTAGGGCTACATCGATTTCAGCCAGTGTAAGCATAAGTTACCCTGGTGAAAATACGCCATGTTTCTGACCCCTCTGTCTCCAGAGCTATCACTCCTACATTTTCAGCCATCACTAAATTAACCTAAAAAATTAAAGAGCTTTTTATGTAAGTCTTCTCAATAGCATCCTTTTGAAGGTGGAGGCTATGGAAATCTATTTTTCATTGAGCTACTGGTATATCCACATACATTAAGGGTTTTCAATTCTCAGATGTTGGCTGTGTGCAGCACAGCTTGTATTTGACTCCCCTTATTAAAAAAGGTTGGGATTGGAATAAGAGCCATAATGCAATACATTATTTATGTGAGGAAAAAGCCAATGCGATCCCAAGAGTCTTCACTGCGTTTTCTACTTAATCTGTGTTTGCCTAAGTCATTGTTGGTCCCAGCATTTTTTTTTTCTACCAGCGCTGAAATTGAAAATGCCCAAGCAAGGAAAAAAAAAACTAGACAGAAAAAGAATGACTCTTCCTCTGAGCAGACTGAAGTGAATTTAAGCGACAGTAACTGTAGGGGTTCTCAGAGGGAGACAGAAATGGGGGAACCACACTTAGTGTCAGACAAACAAACAAGTTACTATGAATAACTGCCTGTGTGCACATTCTTGTGCCCTGGTAAATGCAAGGCAGCTCACCCATTTTCAGAGAGGGGTAAATTACCTCACATTTGCAGTGGAACAGGAGATAGCACACAGGCATTTACTACAGAATAGCTCATGAACAGGGATCCAGGTTTTCAGTTTCCCATGGAAAAACACAGATTCCCCCTTTTACCGGAGAAGAATGTGTATTTTTAATGTTAACAGAGAAACACACAGATCTTGCACTTCGCAAAGAGCTCTCTGCAAGCTGGCAGAGTTCCGGCCTACAAGGGGTAGGAGGAAGGTAGTCAGGCAGGGGGACGCCATGTGCATGCCTGGAGAGCAGCTCCTGGTGGTAAGTCTGGCTGGGAGAGAGGCAGGATTGAGGCCCTCACAGGGAAGGAGGGAAGGAGTTGGGCAAGGCTGGGGCTGAGACAGAGTGGGACTGCTGCCCAGCTGGGCTGTGCATGGGGCTTGCGGCCCAGGGCCAGAATGTGTGGCCACAGGGCCTTGGTGGGGAGCAGGACAGGGCCATGGGCAGCTCGACTGGGCGGGAGGCGGTTCCTGCCACTGTGTGCACTCCCAGACGAGAGTACGCAGGGTGGGGGCAGGTGCAGGCTGCCTGCTGTGGGCTCAAGCTCCCTACCCTGTTGCCCTTCCCCTGGGGCCTCTGCAGCCCAGCGGGTGGGACCGGGTGCAGCAGGGCAGAGCGAGACTGGGCAGGGAAGCTCTTTGCCCTTGTTCGCCCTGGCGAGGAGTCCCCTGCCTGCCTACCAGCAGTGGGGGCAGCAGCGCAGGGTTGTGCCCCTCTGCTGCGGGGCAGGCAGGGAGCGTGTCAGCAGGGCAGCACAGGGCTGGCAGCAGCAAGGAGCTTCCCCACCCAGCTCCACTCTGCCCTGTCACGCCAGGTCCCACCTGCCAGGCTGCAGAGGCCCCAGGGGGAGGGCAGCAGAGCGGGGAGCCTGAGCGGGCAGCCTGCACCTGCTCCTGCTCTGCTCAGAGATTTGTGGAGCACAGGTCTCTCCTGGCCCCTCTCAGGAGTGTCCACAGCAGTGAAAAGACAGCTCTCCCCACGCAAGCCTGCAGCCGCCCCCTGCATAGGCTCAGCTCCAGCCATGCTGCCCATGGTGGTGCAGGGAGCCAGGCTCCACTCTGTGCAGCAGCTGCTGCCTCCCACAGGTGGTAGCTGGGGCTCAGGCCCTGCTGAAGGGGGCTGCAAACTCAAGTCCCTGGCCCTGTAGCCCTGGCAGCTGGGGGCCCCCTCCAGCAGGGCTGTGAGGGGTGGTGGGGAGGAGTGAGGGGCACCAGCAGGGTCAGGGGATGTGGGGAGGAGGAGTGGGGGCACCGGCAGGGCCAGGGGGCTGTGGCTTGGGAGTGAGGGGCCTACACTTGCGTTGTGTGAGCTAAGGGAACAGGGGAAGCTCTGATTTTCCATGATAAAAAACCCAAGATCAAATACCAAAATTTGTAGGTATTTAGAATTTATTTCATTATAGTGATTGAATCACTGGTAGGCTTCCAAATTGCTTTAAAATAAATTGTAAATGTATCATTAAAACATTGCATTCAATTGATACCTATACAATAGTGGCATTTCTTTTTAATCACAGATTTTGGATTTTTTTATCAGAGACTTTTTATCAGAGGATTTGCAGTTTTTTTTTATCAGAGAAAACCAGGATCCCTGTTGATGAATAACTGGCCAGTTTTGAAGCACATGCCACTGAGATATTACTACTGTTGTCACCCATAGTTTTAAAATTACCCTTAGTATTGATGCTCCTTCTGTAATGGTACCCTCATTTTACTATATGGACACTTCCAGTGCTGTAGCAAGGGAGGCCAAGCAGGGTGACCGCCCCAGGCACCGAAATTAAGGGGCACCAAGAGGTGCTGGCCAGCCAGGGCGGGGTGTGGGATGGAGCTGTGAGCAGCTCATTGGGCGGGGGTGCAGGGATGGGGGAAGGGTGCCTCCTGCCACTACATGCAGGATCTGTGTGCAGGGCAGGCTGCCGCTGTGGACTTTACTCTGGGAGCCAAACTCATTGCTATGGCACTGGACACCCCACTGTTGTTTCAGCAGAGCGGGCCATAAAGACTGAACTCTGTCATCCAGGAGAGGGTCACTTAACAGCAGGGCTTGGTCTCACCACTAATGAGAAGTTAGGTGTAAGGTCATTACCAGAGATTACACTTGGGACTTTCAGGATCAGACTTCTACTGCGTGAGGCAGAAGAGTAACTCCCTTACCTGGTAACAGTCGTGGGCTTTTTTCCCTATTAGTAGGTTGCCCTCTGCTAGAAACACTGCTTAAGTTGTTTGGTCTTGGAATGTCAATTCAGCAACTTTCATCAGCTTACACCCTACTTTATAGAAAGAAAAATATTTTAGTTGGAAATGAATTTGATTTCTAAATGTAAAAATCCCAGTTGAGGAGCTTTAGTCATTATCCTAAATCACATACTTCCCCCTTTTAGAAAAATGACCATATCCCTACTGTTCCCTTGCTTATATAAAATCTCTTTTCACTTCAGAGAAGGATCCTCTCCACTCAAACTCCATCTGGTGACAAGAAGACAGGAGAAGCATCTTGAGTGAAGCATGTGCAGCAGAAGCAGCCTCTGACATTTCCTCCCTTAACTCTGCGGTATCTTTGGTTCTCCTAGATAATAATGTGACTCTTCTCAAACCCCTCCTTTGGGAATGCACTGCTTGTCTTACCTAATGACTTATTCACTCATCAGCCTTTTTTAGGTTGACAAATATCTTGCAAAGAGAAGGCACTGGCCTTTGAAAATGTAGAGCCAGTAATTAAAATGAAGAATGTATTACAATAAAACGTAGAAATATGAGCCTAAAAGCCACATTGGTATTTTTAGTGATGGGAGTTATTGAAGACTTCAGTTTAATAATTCAGTGCAGCTGAGATTAATAAATGATATGAGGTGGAAATGGTCTTTCAAGAAGAAGGATATGAGAGGTATAGTTAACAATTTAATTTAGTGTATTCTGAAAAATGCAACATGAATTGCTATATAGTAACTTGGCACAGGCCAAAGGTTTCTCAGCCCATTTTGTAAGAGAGGGATGGGGAACGTGCATCATGATTGAGGATCATGCCTAGTTAGTAATGCCATATTAACAGAGTCTGGGGAGCCAGGAATCCCATCTCTAAAACTGACTCCCCCTACAACCTCTAGCAAATCATTGCTTAGTTTCTCCTTCTGCTATAATGTCAGGTAAGTACTCTGTTCCAGCCTCTCAAGGGAAGACAGTACAATGGTGGAGGGAGGACAAATGAGACCAAAATAAGGTGGTTAATCTCGGCATCACTCTCTTGCCTACTCCAAAAACAGGTCTGCTTCAGGTTCCCAAAGAGCAAGCCAGTCCTGATATAGATATATATATCTATATATATATAGATATATATATATATAGGATGGTGGAGAGAAGAGTGGGAATGAATCATCGTATTGGTTCTCATCATCCAGAGCAGAGAGCTGCCATGACTAGCTCTCCCAAAGAGGTCAACTCCAGGTTTTCTATTTGGAACAAATCACAGACCCTGAGCACTTGCTATCATAGTGCCCTGTCAGCCCTTCTCTACCCTTTGCTGCGCCTCTCAGCGGTGCTAGAAAATTCTGGTTAAAATTCACTACAC